GACAGACGATATTGGTTTGAATGACTGTTGTCTGGTGACGGATGTTGGAAGGACCGTAGTCGACGTGTGACGGAAGTCAGAAATATTGTATTTTGGCAACATATGTCAGTATGATCATAGTCGGCAGGCGGCCGAGGTCGAAAAGATCATAGTTGGTAGGCGACAGTGGTTAGGAAGACAATTGTCTGGCGACGGAGGTATGAAAAACCATAGTTTGACGACGAAGGTCGGAAGGACCGTGGTTGGTAGGTGACGGTGGTTAGAAAGACCATTGTATGGTGACGGATGTCAAAAATATCATAGTCGGTGGTTGGGTAAAAGTCCAGCGTCAATTGACAATCGAGTGTTAGTCCAACAATAATTAGTGGTCGGGTAAAATCCCAACGTCAGTTGGTAGACAAACAGAAGTCCGGTGTCAGTCAATGACCAGGCAGAAGTCTGGTAATAGTCTGGTGATGGTCGGTGGTCGAGGAGGAGTCTGGTGGCAAGGAAGCTCTAATTTCTCTTTATTCCTTCTCTTCTTTCTCTTTATTCCTTCTCTTCTTTCTCTTCGTTGCCTTCTTCTCTTATGTCTCCTTTCAATGAAGAATGAGAACTATTTATAGTTTTATAAGAGTGACATGAACAATAAATAGGAGGGAGATCAAGGGTAAGTTGGAAGTGGTTTGAATGTATGGCCGATCTTGATCCACTCTATTATGAACTGTTTATTGGATATTTGAATATCTTAATTATATCAAAATTCAGCGATATTGGGCTTGTTGTATTCATTTTGTCGATCCGCTCGATTCAACTATTAACATGTCACGTTTGGAAACCGTTTGGTTATCCAATTTTTATTTGAAACTTTCAAATACGCTTTGGGTCTTTGATTTGGACCCATTTGGGCTCGAATTTGGTGTCATTGGGTTCTTCTTTTCAAGACGTTCAATTCGATTAATATTTTGCTGAAATCGGAGTTCATATGATCCTAAATTTAATTTCAGATGTTTCAATTTTGATTTTGCTTTGAGATTCATGCCCGATCAAAATAATTTTTTGATATCAATACTCATATATTATGTTATTATATTTATGGCAAATCACTAATAGGAAACTTATTAAGATATATTGTCACTAGATAGATGCTCTAATTTGACTCTATCTCTCTTGCCTCGCATAATTCTATGTTTCCTTAATTCACTCAGTTTGGAACATATATACTTGAGTTTTTTGTCAATCCCTTTAACTTAACAAATTCTATTTTGACTAACATGATGAAATTTAATTATTTATACTTAATATGGTACCAAGTAACCCTGTTGTACTTGTGACCTAGCCATATCTCTGATCATGTCATTAATATGATCAAAACACACTCAACTTAGTCATTTAAAGACTCTATGATCTATCAATTAGGTTTAACTTAATGTTCATTCTTTTTAATTAGACATATGATATGGTTAGTCTACAACTAACACCTTAGCACATGCATATAGAGCACATGCATATAGAGTCTACATACATAACCATGTTAACCCATGTTTACTTTAAAAATTCCTAGGCTAGTCAAGTAATATAAACCAGAAAACAATATAGGATTTAGACCATTTTGATCGCTTTATGGTGAATCTAATACTCTTTTAAGATAGCCTACATACCATTTTATTAATTGATAGTGTTGATACAATGATTATTTTATTGATTTAACACTCATACTGATTTATTAATTCCCCCGTTATATTACTTTAATGGCTTATGTAATGTATTGTTTTACTATTTATAGATTATATTGCTAATACATGTGAGTTTTGATATTTTTGCACTGATTTCTAATTATATGACTCTTACTGGTATGAATTAACTAACGATATGCACATTGCTTTTTTACCGTATTTTAAATTCAATTATAGGATTTTAGTTACCTGCTCGAATATTTAGCTCATTATATATGGTTTAAATAATTTCATGTCTTGATAAAAAATCTAGTGTGTGAGATCAATCAGATCAATATTCTCCAAGTTTGCTGTTAGTTTATTCATTTCAAACTTTTTGCTATTCTTTTGTACCCATAGTTGGTGATGATAAATTATAATTGTATAAATCTTAAGTATTGTATAATAAGTTTTGGGCTAATGAATATAGATACATATGTATGTTTTGATCAATAGAATTTGTTTATGTTGATATATGATTTTATTACTAATAAAAAGTAATAGATAGCTCTAATGTTAATTTTAAAAGATAAAAAGTATAATTCTATCAAATTTAATCTTAGGATATTACAAATGGGAGTCTGGGACGTGTCTTTTATAATTCTTCTATTGGTAATGAATTGTTCAAAAAATACTAAGACAATGTGGGTAAAGTTGCGGATAATATTTATAGAGATGGGCAGAGCTAAGTGCAAACTTTACCCTTGAGAGTAGCAAGGATGACCAAGCAAACAAATACATCAAAAGCTTGTTAGATATGAATGATGGTTCTTTAATAATCAATATGTTCGTAAGGATTGCTTGATCCATTATAAAGATCAATAATGGATAGTTTAATCCCATTGAAATATGATGCTGAAGAAATTTCATTTGTTAAGGGTCAATCACTGATGGATTTTAATCATTTTCCAATAAAAAAAAGCCGCCAAAAATATCATTTTTTTTCCTGAAACGTTAATAAGACGTCACACTATTTATCTTATAATCTCTTATAATCTCACGAGAGACATCCATTAAATGATATTGATATATATCCTCCATGATTGGTGGAGAATTACAGGTTGGCTGAATAATGGGTGAAGGATGCGTTGAACTACTTGTATTAGAGAGAACTTAATGAGTTTGTGGGGAAGGAGGTACTTCTAAACCAACATTATATCTAAACTATTGTTGATTTTATGGAGAAATAATTCCATCATATTATCTTGGTGCCATTTGTAGTCCGGTCTACTAAAAAAATCATTGATTTTGACTTTGAAGTTCCTCCATCCTATTCATATGATCCTCTAAAGTGAGGCCTATGGGGACTTCATCCCCTACATTATGTTATTATTGATTGAGGGATTTATTGTTAGCCATTGAAGAAGTATGTTTGGAAATGAAGTTTCCACATACGTCATCAAACTGTTTCGTGTTGGAATTTTTTAAGTACGTAGAATGAATGATTTACATCTCAAGGTCATACAACAAAAAAGTTCAACATGTATAGATAAAGATAGTAAAAATATATTTTTTTATTTAGAAATTTTGAAAAGGAAAAAAATATAGGGCTTAACCTAGTAAAAAAAATCATTATATAATATGTGCTACAATAATCTTTCTTTCTTCATTGTTTAATTAGAGGGGGGTTAAACATACATTTGTTTTTCCCTGAGTGAGATTATAGAAATCAAAACATGACAAATAAGTGATACAATAATCTTCCTTTTCTTCATTGTTGAATTAAAAGTTGATTTCATTGATGTTGGTTGGAGACTGCTATAGAGTGACAATTAACACCCAACAACAATACGTGATTTCTCCTAGGGGTGTCAATATTTGATACAATCAAAAAATCGATCTAAAGGTACGGGTTAACTCACATGAAAATGAGTTGGGTTTGGGTTCCATATTTATATCCGATTATAATTTTGGATCGGGTTCGTGTCAACTGAAAACCTGGAAGAAACTGAAATTGACCCCCTTCGTTGTCCATCGTCGTCGCTAGCTAGTCTCGCTCATCCTCGTTTGCTTGTTGCTCGTGCTCGCCACCCAATTTGTCGGCTTGTGCTAACCCTCTTGTAGCGCTCTCACCTATCCGCAATCGGTAATCAAGTATAATCCAATTAGTTCAGCTGGTTGGGTTGGGTCAAATCAGGTTAAAGGTGAGTCAAGTTTGGGTAGGGTCAATTGAAGGTGGGTGAGTTTCGGTTTGGATCTAAACCCGGCTCAAAAAACCCATATTGACAACCTTAATTTCTCAATAAGAAGCATAAAAAGTAGGTGTCCACAGGCGGACAACTATAGTCTATACACAGCAGTGTAATTAAATCTTCTCAATATTTTGGAGAGGTTGGTGATTTCTCATGTTGATATTTGGTGGTGATGGTGATTGTAAGTTGGAATAACTGACGGTGTTCGTCGATTACGATGACTGAAATGCAAGAAAGCTCTTTTTAGTTATCTATATTCTTCCTCCCCTTTAGGTGAAGAATGTGTCCCTTTTTATAATTTTTTTTGGGATTGATATTTTGATTATTTGACTTAAAATCTAAAACACTCCATTATACAAGTTATATCGATTCTCTTGATTACGAAATATTTCTTCAATATTTAAGTGCCTTAATTATGTTGGAATTAAGTTATCTTGAGTTTGTTAGATTCTTCTCACCGAGTCGTTTGATTCAACTATAAGCATGTTAAATTTGGAATTTAGATAATCATTATTTTAATTTTGAAAGTTTTTAATTCAAAAATTATCTCGAAATTCATGTTAATCATATGAATTTTCTAAATTCATATCAACATATATAAATATACAAAGCTCATTTTATAATATTTTTTGGGAGCTTTGATTATTAACTAAGACATCTGGTGTTCTCTTGCATATGTGGATTGTGGATGTAGGTGTGTTTACTTTAATTGATCTAAATATTATATATATATATATATATATATAAATTTATAGAAATATTATAATATACGTTAAATAAAAGGCCAAAATTTATTTCTGGCGTTAGAATTAGTCCTACGGTTTACCGTCATAAACCCATTTGAGTACACACGTGGCAAGAAATGATTGCTCGTCCGCTCCCGTGGACAAGCTAGAAGCAATAATAAGTAGCCACGTCAGCCTTCGTGACGTTTTGAAGCTGGGTTGGCCTCAGATCCAATGACTCTCCGGATCCCCATTATTGTGTTGCATTTCCAATCCCAGCCTTTTACTCCACCTAAGGAAATTGCAATCCAGCGCCCGACACTCGGGAGCACGTTATGATGCAGAGTTTCGAAAGACAACATAAGCAGGTTCGCTTCAAAAATTTATCCACTGGCTTATATAATCCCCATTTTCACCTTTCCTCTCGACCGTGATTAAATCAAGGTTGAAATGGAGCGCAGAGACGGCCGCAACCTCCTCCCGTGTCTTTTTCTCGTTCTTCTCTCCGTGGTCTCCGCTGATATCTTCTTCGAGGAGCGATTCGATGGTAACAATCAGGATCTAGATACTTTTTTTCTGAACTATATCGTTCAATTTGTCTCTGTCTTGGCCCGATCTGGTGACGTTTTCATGCGACCTTTCTTATCTCAATGTCGATCTAGTCTCGGGCCCTTTCAGCTATATTATTGTTTTGACATCCAGTATTGCTTTTGTGCCCTTAAGATCCGCAAGTTTTTTTATTTTTTATTTTTTATTTGATGAGCCTGTTCAGTGGAAATTGAACCACTTGGAATTATTGTCTTGGTATTTCTGCGATTTCTGCTATCTGAGGGTAAAGCATCTTGATCTGTTAGATGGATGGTAAATTTGCACTGTTAGGTGATGAAAGCCGATAGCTGTCAGGTATTGCAACTTGATCAGGGTGAAACCATTGAACCCTATCCTTAACTAGCAATCACGCTAGAAAATATAGATCTGAATTTTTTTTATCTGTACTGCTCAGGAAACGATATTGTACCGCCATAGCTTTTATTATATTGACCTATTGATAGCAAGTGAGCTAATCTTCGCGATGGCTGCTTAGGTTACACGCAGGAATCTTATAATATATCGAGCATTTGATCATAAGTTATTTTGGTTTAAAAAATATTTACAGTGTATCTTTATTTGCCCTCTCCTTCACTTTTCGTTGGATAGTGATGAATTTTCATTCTCTTAAAAATTGAGTGCACAAATTGTATTACTTAAGGAGAACTTTGTGCAACTTGTATGGATTAATGGCGTCTTAAGTCCGGCAGAAAAAAAAAAAGCTAGCTTTTACCATAACATTACTGAACTGATACTGCATTGTGAGTACATATATGCAGTTCCAGTCAAGAATGCCCAATTGTAGTGCATACTTTGGAGCAACGTCAATTAGGCTGATTTTCCCTCATGTGTAGCACATTTGTAGCGCTTTGTTTAATTTTCCGCGCATTATTAATTTTGACAATCCTCTTTTTAATATTATCTATGGGGTTCTTGAATCTTCTTATATCACTGAGTGCTCTTCTCTTTATCTTGGTTCAGATGGATGGGAGAATCGCTGGGTAAAGTCTGATTGGAAAAAAGATGAGAATTCGGCAGGCGATTGGAACCACACTGCTGGAAAATGGAGTGGTGATGCAAATGACAAAGGTGCTTGTTCTTCCCTCGCATTGCTTTTCCAACTACATTTGTTTTTATAACACAGTAACCACTTAGTGTTTTTTCTTGTAATCTTGAATAACATAAAAAGCCAAGCTATGAATCCTTTAGTTCCATGTTCAAACTATATTTGCTTTAATTCTGTTATCTTTGCCGCACTTTTGATGATCTTTCAGAAAGTGATAGCCCTTTATGCAGAGAAGTGGTTGTTGCATGAACAGAAGATTCTTCTAATCCAACAAAAGTGACCGTTTTGATCTATCTGCACTGTAATTATTGCACCGAACCTTTTTGGGACTCTAGGCTTCATGATAATTGAAAATAATGAGAATTAAAAAAATTTAGAAATAAAAACTATATAACCTTCTTTTAATAAATTTTTGATAAAATATATAATCAAACAAATCAATTATAATAAATCAGAAGAATTCAAAGGGAGTAACAAGGTGAACATTACAGGAAAGTTCAAAAAATTCAAAGGCGTCAAAAAAGTGAATCAAGTTTGTGTTGAGTTGATTGAAGTGATCATAATAATAGTTCGGTAAACTAACATTTTGTGAATGGCCAAAAAAAGCAACTAACCATATTGGTGGACTCCATAGGGCTTTATATTCGCTTCTAATTTAGAAAGGCATTAATAAATTTTTTTCCAATCAAACAAATTATAACAATAACGATCCTTTTGAGTAAAACCAAACCCAAACTTTGAATCAGTCCAATTTTTTTTTTTATTTGGAAAAAAACTTCCATCTTTCAATGTAGAACTGCAAATTATTATGAACTAAGTCATAACCATTGTCGTATAATGATATTATACTCAAATAATATACACTTAAAATGAAATCACTTCAGGTATTATAATTATGATCAAACTCAAATTTAAAGTTACATGAAATATGTTTAATTAATGATCTTTAATTATTCTCATATCTGAATAATTAAAGATCATTAATGGACCTTGATCTTGTTTGATTTTAAGATTTTTTATGATATAGTTCAATTAATTATTGATGTTGTAATTAGACTTATAAGGAGGTTATCGTTGATGTAGGCATCCAAACATACCCAGATTTTAGATTCTTTGCCATCTCTGCCCAGTTTCCTGAGTTCAGTAACAAGGACAAAACATTGGTCTTTCAATTTTCGGTCAAGCATGAGCAAAAGCTTGATTGCGGTGGTGGTTATATGAAATTATTGAGTGGCGATGTTGATCAAAAGAAGTTCAGTGGTGAGACACCATACAGGTAACTATTATTCCCTGCAGCATTGGTTTTTTAAATTGCACGCATTCGTCAGATTCCTATTTGTTTTTTATTGTGCGGTATCATTTTAACTTACATGCCTTATTAAATTAATACCTTATCTGACTCCTATCATTTATATTTTTGGTATTCTAAGATCTTTCTTATCGTTTAAATGCTTTGTTCAGCATTATGTTTGGGCCAGATATTTGTGGATACACTACGAAGAAAGTACATGCGATATTGACCCGTAATGGGAAGAATCACCTAATAAAAAAAGAGGTGGCTTGTGAAACAGATCAACTCACCCATCTTTACACTTTCATCATCCATCCCGATGCTACATACAGCATACTTGTTGACAATGTTGAGAAGCAATCTGGTAGTCTTTATAGTGATTGGGACCTTCTCCCACCAAAGCAAATTAAAGACCCTGATGCCAAAAAAGTATGCAAATTGCCAAGTCTTTTCTACTATTTGAAGGCCGTTAACATATGATTTTATTGTTATTATTTGTTTGTTTCTCCAACAGCCTGAAGACTGGGATGATAAGGAATATATTCCAGATCCCGAAGACACCAAACCTGAGGTATCTCCATTTTTTTTTTGCATGAAACAATAGTACTTTACAATTTAGGCTTCTTTTGACTATTTCTTTTATGCTGCTTTGATTTTTAAAGTTCTTCATCCGTGTGGAAAGGTGCAGCTGAAAGTTTTCCATTATATTTGCAACTCCTTCATGGCTTAATGATTATGTGTATGTAATACACTTGTAAAGCAGTGCATCCACCTCTGTTTGAGTACAATTGACATTATTTCATGCTACATAGTGTTGTGAAAGAAAACAAAGTTACCAAATCAAGCCTTGGTATTTTGTGACAACACAAGAAATTTCAACCTTCAAACAAAAACGTTGTTATCTACTGGCGCTATACGTTTTGATTCGCAGAAGCTAGATATCTTTGTACGCTTGAAAATATTCATATTATATTAACAAATGTTTCCTAATACAATGTTTTTATCTGATTACTAAAGTTTTTAATTCTTTTGTATTTTAGAAGCAAGAGAAGCATTATCATTTTAAATTTTAGCAATCATTATTGATCTCTCTTCACCCCCTTATCTCTATCTCCCCCCTTCTATCTCCCTTCTCTCTCTCTTTCCCTCGTCATTTGATTCACCTTGATTCTTTCCTTTTGACTTGTGACATTTCTTTGTGTACCCCTTACCCCAATCTAAATATTAATACCTCAAACTTGTCTTAATACCTTATGCATTTTCCAATATTCAAAATCTTTATTTTTTCCTAGCATCTTGAACTTGGCATTTCAGTTGAGATATGAATGACTTGGTACTGGACTTCATTCTTGTTATGTTGACTTCTTAAATTTCATATCATTAACGTTTCAGAGGAGGCTTATATTTGGCATTCCTTGCATTTCAGGGTTATGATGACATTCCCAAGGAAATACCTGATGCTGATGCCAAAAAGGTAATTTTTTCATTTTTTTTCAGTATTCCACTGGCAAAATATCCTTGCATTGCTTGATTCTTGCACTTTCATTTGCTTATATGAAAATGATATGGGTTTGCAGCCTGAAGATTGGGATGATGAAGAAGATGGTGAATGGACCGCACCAACCATTCCAAATCCCGAGTACAAGGGACCATGGAAGCAAAAAGTATGGAAAGAAATTTAGTATTTGCATTCTTATATTAAATATATGTGAATAACTACCTTTAAGCATATTTTTTCTAATTACTTCACAGAAAATAAAGAACCCTAATTACAAGGGCAAGTGGAAGGCTCCCTTGATTGATAACCCTGGTCCTCTCTCACTTCTATGTATCTTTGTTTAATTTTTTAATGGAGAAATTCTTTGTTACTGATTATATTTTAAACTTGACAGATTTTGAGGATGATGCTGATATTTATGTTTTCCCTGATTTGAAGTATGTTGGAATTGAGTTGTGGCAGGTATAACTTCACCGTATCGGTTAAGCTTATTGATATATAGTTAGTCTTTCCTATTCCTTCACAGTCGCAGTTGTGATTATTGACATAACTAGTATTCCTATCTTCTTTTTTATAAATCTATCATCTTCATTCAGGTAAAATCTGGAACCTTATTTGATAACGTTCTTATCACTGATGATCCCGAATATGCCAAGAGGGTTGCTGAGGAAACCTGGGGAAAAAACAAAGACGTAAGCTCATTGCCTGATTATTAGAACAGCTATTGAGAATCTTTTCCTTCTTTTAACTAAACACCATGCATTTTTAATCCTCATCAGGCTGAGAAGGCTGCTTTTGATGAATCTGAGAAAAAGAGAGAAGACGACGTATGATTCTTGCACCCTACTTGCTTGATTTCTCCCTAAAACAGGAGGTTTTTAACTCTTGATTTTAATGTTTATCCAACAGGAGAAAGTTGAGGATGAGAAGGATGATATAGATGATGATGAGGATGAGGATGTGAGTTTCTACCTTTGGCCTCTATACCATTTGTATTGATTCTCCTACTATCATATTGGTATTAATTTAAGTCCCCCATTCATCACAGGGCGAAGCTGATGGTGATGAATCTGATGTTGAGGATGCCAAGGAACATCATGATAAAGATGACGATAAAGATGAAGAGAACACAAGCCATCATGTATGTACCAATCATTGCTTCATATACTACTTCCTTGTTTTGTGTTACTATGGCCTTTTTAATTTGATACATTTAAGAAATAGAAGAAAATAATTGTAGTATAGTTCTTTGACCACCATGGACTAGAGCATCATCGACATAGCTGTGCTATTTCTATTGCCCTATGGTTGAGATCCTGGCACCCGGTATAAAAAAAAAAGTAAAGTTGCTATAACTCATTTTCTATTTAATAATCTGTTGCCTGAGCCCATCTCTAAGATACTTTAAATATATACAATTCATCTGATAATTTCATTGTAATTGCTAATGATTGTGTTTTGTCTTCAATTATTGTATTGTTTGACTGACACAATTATATAAATATATATATTTGGGAATAGTGGAAAGTAATATAGATTTCTATGTTTAGAAAGTGGTTGGACTCCCTCTGACTTAGTTTTAACCTAACGCATCCACGCTAGTGGTCGTGATGATTTTTAAGGTTGTTGTCATGGCTGGTGACTTTTAAACCAGCCCACCACCTGAGATCTGTGATCTGCCACACAAATAATTTTTTTTTTTGGAATTGGGTATCCACCCCCGTCATCTCCGAAAGGGTGTTTGACGGTGTGACTAATCCTCTTCTAACTTAGAAGAGGCACCCATCCCGAAATCCTTCTGACCTGCATTGGATTGACGCGACTTAAGAGGCGTTGCCGCTCGAGGGGAATCGAGCATGGGTTGGAAGGTTCCCAACCAAACTCGCCCACCACATGAATAATTACCAAGCCACGCAATTCCCAAGCTCTTAAAAAAAAATATTAAAGTTTTATATAAAATAATCTTATGAATCAAATCAATTTGTTCTGAATCCAATTTACTAAATTTTTTACCTTTTGTATTCTGCAGGATGAATTGTAATGCGATTGGCGAAGGGTAGGTCTGGAAATTTCCCTGTCAAGCTTCAAGGGAGTGTAGTGGTAGTTTGAATGGTTGAGCTGAGTTGCTCATCTTTCTTAATTTCAGACAATTTTTTCTCGGCCTATAAGTCCTTAAGGCAGGTTGCCTTTGAATGTTCCCTGATTTTGACTTCATAAATGGATGCGTGTTTTTTTTTTCTAAGTTCGTTTTGTCATAATGTTTTAATCTGAATTTTGGCTCGGCGTTTGTTTTGCCTGTTTAAATACTCAGTGCTCATGTAATAGAACATAAGTTTTCTCAATCTATTTCTGACCGGAGCAGAAATTTGAAGTATCTGCTCCTTTTATGTGTAGGCAGTGTGCCAGATTCAGTATTGCTAATTCGATGAGCTTGTTTTATGGGTTGAAGCTTATTGCTTTATATTTTCTCACAATTTGATCTGGCTTAAGCTCGGTTTGGGGCCGCAGGGGCGGCTTTTTTACTGCTGTTTAAAGTAGCTTTTTAATATAAAATTTTAATTTTTTTACTAGAAAGTTGCTTTAAGAAGCAGGAAGAAAACTGTCTCAAACTAACTAAAACTTAATATGTTTGTTTGAGTGGTAGCTGAGATAGAGATTATTGCATTCAGTGAAGGGCAATGCTTTTCAAATTTACCAAATTAACAATTTTGCAATATTAATATATTACAAATTATTGTCAATAATAATAATAATCTCAAAATTAATTGGATTATTTTTAATTCATTTTAATAATAATTTTTTTCTCAATTTATAATTCTTTGTACATACGGTCGTGATGGGCTGTGCTTTATTATTCTGCATAAAATAAGTTGTTTTATAAGTTCATTAATTTGATTGTTGAGATATTTAGCAAAAATGAGCAGAGGATTTTATTTTCAAGGGAAACTCTAAGAAGATGGATAGCTTCTGTTTCTGTTTTTTATTAAAAAACTATTAGAGTAATAAAGAAGGTACTATCTTGTAAAATTATTTGGTTGGTCAAGGCAGCTGGCCAAGGCCCTACGAAATTTTGTGCATTGCATTGACGCTTTGTGATACTGTTTAGTGTTTACCCCTCTCTATAGAAAGCTAACCAAATCATCTAAGCTCTTCCTTTGTAACATCATACTGTACTTTTTTTTTGGGGACATTTAGGTCAATTAAGGCAAACTCACACACACAACGTAAACACATAGACTCGAATCTTGGACCTCTTAGTGAGAAGCCTAAACTCTCAACCAATAGGCCAAGGAAAGTTGTGTACATCATACTGTACTTCAGATAGCGCAAACTTGTATTTATCAATTTATTGGATCATGGTAATGCTATAAGATATTACTATTCCTCTAATTTCATCCTCTACTTCATTCTCTTCTTTATAGCTGTTGCAATATATGATTACACACAAATGACTAATTTAAAGTTTAAAATTCTTTAATAGGTGCTTTTTTGACATTATTTTTATGTGAGAGAAAATATGAAGAGATTTCATTAAAAATCTAAAAAAATAGACATGTGACCATCTTCCAACATCTGCAATAAATTTTCGCATTATTTTTATTTGGTTTCTTTTGTTGGATCAATAAACAGGCAAATTAGCTGTTAAATTGCTATATTGGGTGTTAATTAGGGGCGCACATGTGTGTCGAGCTTGAGTCATGATTAACTCGAGCTTGGCTTGTCGGCCACACCGTGAGCTCGAACTCGAGCTCAAATATGTCATGCTCGAGCTAGGCTCCGAGCTCACGATTTGGCCGACGAGCCAAGCTCCTCGCGATGAATGCGAGCTTGCGAGGTATAAGGCTCTCTGCATGCTCTGATCAAGCTTCTATGTTCAAGGTTTCGTTCCATGTGACCACGCCTGAGCTTTTGCTTCCGCTCTCGAGTTGCCGCTTCTGCGCTCGTGCTTCTGCCTTCCGCGCTTGAGATGTTTGACGAGTAATCAAGTTGAGCTTCATCTCTCTTCCTCATCAGTTTCAAAATTATGACAAATTTAATGGCTGCTAGAACTAGCACTTCAGTCTCTCTTAGTGGTTTCAAAATCGCTATAGAAAACCTTTGCTGTGGAAAACAGTTATAGTGGTCTTGTAGTGATTTTGGAATAGCTACAAATCTTTTCATTACGGTCAAATCTCCCTCTTCCCCTCATGGATCCCCCCTTTCCTCTCACGACTTCCCTAATCTACCTTTATCCACACCTTCACCCATTCCTTCAGTTTTAGACCGGCTTTGGTCTAATATTGTGGCCACACCCGAAACCACCTCCTCCTCCCTTCCTATCTCCTTCTTGTATACTCCTGAAGAGATAGTGCCTTTCAACAAGTAAAAGATAGCTGCGGTTGCTCCCGAATGGGACCTTTGTCTGGTTGGATACTCTCTTGGTAAGAGGCCTTACTACGAATCTCTTCTCTCTGCGGCAAAAAGAGATTGGAAAAGTCAAAGGTACTTTTCAACTCATAGCTCTCAGTGATGATTTTTTCCTGTTCAAATTCTCTAATGCGGAAGACGTCGACATGGTTTGGTTGAAAGGGGCTTGGTATTTCTTTGGTAATCCATTTCGGTTGTCTTCCAAAAATGGTCTCCTCTTTTTCAACCAATTAGGGAGAATTTTTCTTCCGTTCATATATCCCTATAGTGGTTGATGCTCTAATTGCTGCCAAAACCAGATTGACTTATGCCCGTATTTGCATTTAAGTGTCTCGGACTTCAAAATTTCTAGATTTCATACCTATATCCCTGGAAGAAAAAGTGATTCACCTTAAGGTGCAATATGAATGGAAATCGAACTTGTGTTTTCATTGTAATTCTTTAGCACATTCCACATCAGCTTGTCCATCAAATCCTAACCCTTTCGAGCTTCCTACCTGTGGGCGCATCTTCTCCCGTTAGCCTCAGAACAGGTTCCAATCTCGCGCCCCAACACCTAAAGGCATTAACTTGCCTCACTCTTCCCATCTCCTAACCCCTTAAGCTATTAACTCACCCAACAAAATTCCTCCTTCCACCCATCTTAATACTAACCTCACTCAGAGCTCATCTATCACTCCTTCCCATTCCTCCACCACCTTCACTCCGCCTCAAGTTATTTTGAACTCCCCAACCATCCACCCGACTTCCACAAATAATCCTCCATCCAATCCCTGTTCTTCTTCCAAACCTCCCACAACAACGACCTCCATAAGCTTTATATCAGACCTCGAGGTTCAACCCCTCCATAGCAGCCCCACCATCTCAAACCTTAACTCCCCCACTGATTTAACTCTGGGGAAGGATGAGGAGGTGCCTACTGTTTCATTGATTTCCACAATAGAATCCTCTAAAAATAAATTTAATGTTCTCCAAAATTGTAACATAGAGCAAGACACGCTCTCCTCAGATACTTCCTCATTGTCTAATGGTGAGTTTCAAGACAACTCATCTAGCAAAATCGCCACATCTGCACAAACAAAATCCTCTAGTGAGAGAGTGAAAAAGCCCCCAAATGCAAAAAAAATAAATGATAAGTCCATCTATTACAGCTTGGAGTATTAGAGGATTTTCCTACTCTGATAAGGTTTTCTGCTACAAGAGACTATCCCAATCTTTGAGGCTTGATATGTTATGTATTATGGAGAACAAGATTCACCTCTCAGCTTTGTCTGATCCTCTTTTCTTCAACAAACTCTTGGTTTTTGACTAGAAAGATAGTTGTAACAATTTTCATTGCTCCAATTCAGGTAGAATATGGATTAAATGGACTCGTGACAGGATTACCTTCAATCCCTCTTTCATCTCTTATCAGATGATCTCTAGTATGGTTGTTTTTTGGTCTTCTAAGCCTTTTCTCTTATATGTTATCTATGCCTCCAATAATCATGAAGAGAGGAAAGTGCTATGGGAGTATATTAACTCTATTGACCCGTTGGAGGATTACCCTTGGATTTTAATGGGGGATTTCAACAACTGTAGATTTCTGACCAACAAGCTTGGGGGTAATGCTTTAATTCAAAGTCATCTTCATGATTTCAATGCTACTATATTCAATATGAAGCTTAAAGAACTTGCTTATGTTGGAAATCCTTATACTTAGTTTAATCAGAGGCTGGATAAGCCTATTCATATCAAGCTTGATCGTATGCTGGTTAATGATGATTGGTTTGCTTCCTTTCCCAACTCTGACTATGTGATTAAAAGCCCTTCTTGCTCTGATCACAATCCTATTATGCTTCATCCTGGGGAAAGACTTCTTCCCCTCATAGATTTCTTTATAAGAACTATTAGGCAAAAATTGATCAATTTTGGTTGGCCCTGATGTCCATCTTCTTTGCTAAGTCTAATGGTCATCCTTTGGTCGATTTCTGTAATAAGCTTAAGCATTTGAAGCTTTCCATCAAGGGGAATAATAGGGCTAATTCCGATTTGTTGGGGAGGCACTTGGATACTCTTCATCAAAAGCAAGCATATTTATTTAATATGCAGTGTAGGGATTGTAACAATCCAGATATCTCGCTTGCCTTAAAAAATGTCAGTAACCAACTTGTGTTTGCCACTTCTAATTGGACTTCTTGGGTTATGCAAAGGGCAACAACGAAATTGATGTCTCATGGTGAAGATGATTTAAAGTTTCTCTTCTCTAAAATTCAGATCAGGAGGAATTACAAAAAAACCTCTCTATCTCTCACCATGTCAACTGCCTCTTCTTCTTATATAGATTTTGTTTAGGCCACCATCAACCATGTCCAAACCCTTTATAATCCCCAACCTCATCAGTCTGTTGATATCAATTTATTTCCTCGGGGGAACTATATTTTGTCTAATCTTGTTGATAATCTTACTATGCCCATCACTGATCAAGAAATTAAGAAGGTGATTTTCTCTGGAGCCTCTTGCTCTGCTCTTGGACCAGATGGTTTCAACTTTAACTTTTATAAGAGAACATGGCTTATCACTGGCCCTACCATTTTCAAAGCTTTCAAGACATTCTTCCACAGTGCTTATATGCCTTGGATTGTTAAGAATATTGCTGTCACTCTCATTCCTAAGAACATTCACGCTTCTTCTTTATCAGATTTCAGGCCTATCTCACTATGCAACACAATCTACAAAATCATTGCAAAAATTTTGGCTACCCGCCTCAAACCCATTATGTCAATTATTAATAAAAGGAATAATACTGGGTTTATTCAAAACAGAGTCTCCACTGATAATATTATTCTTGTTAAAGAATTATTATTTCACTCCAGAATTTCCTCCAAATATAGAATCATGTGTGCCAAGCTTGACATTAAAAACGCCTTTGATAGTGTCTCTAGAGAATTTATTTATGATAGGCTTTTGCAAAAGGGATTCCCTAGCTTGTTTATAAAATGGGTGGAAGCCTCGATTAATGATGCCATGTTTTCTCTTTGTATTGATGGTGC